TTGCTAAGTACTCCATCCTATTATTGATCATTAATAAAATAAATGACGTTTTGAATATTTTATGCATATTTTTTATTGTTACCCTAATTTAACTAACACACTACACGTTTTAGGGAAGAAAATTGTGGAATACGATGAATTTTCTATCTTAAAAGAACATAAAAAAACTAAAACTAGAAAAATTATTTGATGTTAATTTGTTTTAAATAAAACTAATATTGGCAAAAAAAAAAAATCTTAATTAATGTATTAAAGTACAAAAGGACCTTTAAAAAAAATAAGAGGGAATACATTATGGGCACACTTGTGATTCTACTTAGTAATTACTCAAGGACAAGTAACCATATTATTATCCATATAGAGAGTAAAACATTTTTTATTTAAATAAATAAAGAACAAATAAAATTTAAAAATATTTATTTTCCTAATATCATATGAACATTCTTCTCCAACAAATTTCCATCAAAATCCAAGATATAAATAAAAGGAATAATTACACATTACCTACCTAATTATTCGGAAATTTACACTTTGCCTACAATTTTTTTTAAACACTTTGTCTACCTAACTTTGATTTTTTGTACACTTTGTCATTTCCGATCACTGCAGGCGACACGTGACAATAAGACACAAAAGCCACGTACTCCCTCCGTTTCAAATTACATGTCGTTTTGACTTTTTTTATTCATCCATTTTGCTATGTATCTAGACATATTATTATCTAGATACATAACAAAATGGATAAAAAAGTCAAAACGACATGTAATTTGAAACGAAGGGAGTATTGATTTATGAGGCCGGCGGTGACCGAAAATGCAAAGTGTACAAAAAATTAAAATTAAATAGACAAAGAAAGTATAAAAAAAAATTATAGACAAAGTGTAAATTTCCAGATAATTAGATAGGCAACGTGTAACTTTTCTTAAATAAAATGGTACTTATATATTAGTATTTAATAATATAAATAAACTACTAGAATAGAAATTTGTAGCCTAGTAGGCCAAACACAACCTTTTTACCTTCTCTTCTCACCACGTGTCCCAATCTTAACATCCTTGGCTTACCTTATATATAACCCCGCCCCTCATATCTCTACTTCTAAAATCCCTGCCATTAAATGCCTTCAAATTCCTCTAAATTTTTTCCATTTAATTTTCAAAACCCAAAAATAAATAAAAAATCTCACATTTCTCACACGCCGCCGTATGAAATGAGGACGGTCAAAATCGACGCCGCCGCACCTCCGCCGGATAAAAACAATCTCCGGCGTCCCAAACTCGGCGCCCTCCTCTCCACCACTCCACCCGCCCCTAACGACGGTGAACGGGACAGCGATTTCACTGGCATCCCATACTCCCCCCGCCGCCGCTACAGCGACGCCTCCCCAGTAACCACCCCCGCCGTCTCCCACCGCACCTCCGCCGTTGCCGGGACCCCAACCTTCTACTCGAACCCGAGCAGCGCGCACTCCTCGCCGTACAACAACCTCATGTCCCCATGGAGCCAGCCTTCGCCGTACGCGAAGTCGCCGTGGACGTACCAGATCGTCGATTCGTCTATTTCGCCGCCGTACGGCGGCGACACACAAGTCGATTTCGCCGGTAACGGCCTCATCGGGTCGCTAATCCGAGAGGAAGGCCACATATATTCACTCGCCGCCGCCGGCGATTTGCTGTACACCGGATCTGAGAGTAAGAATTTACGGGTCTGGAAGGATATGAAGGAGTTTTCCGGGTTCAAATCGGGCAGCGGGCTGGTGAAAGCGATAGTCGTATTTTCGGATCGGGTTTTTACGGGTCACCAGGACGGTAAGATCCGGGTCTGGAGGTATTTGGGGGACAAGAGGAAAACGCACAAACGGGTCGGTAATTTACCGACTACCCGAGATCTGCTGATGAAATCGATCAACCCGAGGAGCTACGTGGAGGTGCGCCGGCACCGGAACGTGCCGTGGGTGAAGCATTACGACGCTGTTTCGTGTCTGAGCGTGGATCCGGAGCAGGGTTTGCTGTATTCGGGTTCGTGGGATAGGACGCTCAAGGTGTGGCGGATCTCGGATTCAAAGTGCCTGGAGTCGATCCGGGCCCACGACGACGCCGTGAACTCGGTGGTCGTCGGGTTCGACGGCCTCGTGTTCACCGGATCTGCCGACGGCACGGTGAAGGCGTGGCGGAGGGAGCTGGTGGGGAGGTCGGCGGGTCACGTGCTGGTGGGGACGTTGCTGAAGCAGGACCACGCGCTGACGTCGCTGGCGGTGAGCCGGCCGGCGGCGGAGGAGGGCGGCGGAGGGGCGCTGTACGCGGGTTCGTCAGACGGGCTGGTGAGCTTCTGGGAGCGGGAGAAGCACTTCGTGGCGTACGGCGGCGTGCTGAGGGGGCACATGTTGGCGGTGCTGTGCCTGGCGGCGGGGGGGAGCCTGGTGGCGAGCGGGTCGGCGGACCGGAGCATCTGCGTGTGGCGGAGGGACGGCGGGGGAGCGCACTCGTGCCTGGCCGTGCTGACGGGGCACGCCGGTCCGGTGAAGTGTTTGGCCTTGGAGAGGGACGGCGGAGACGGCGACGGCGACGGAAGCGGAAGCGACGAGGACGGCGAGGACCGGCGGTGGATCGTGTACAGTGGGAGTCTGGATAAGAGCGTGAAGGTTTGGAGGGTGTCGGAGGGCATGAGGGAACTGCAGGGGGAGTGAGGGGGGACGCGTGGAGAGTGGGGCGCACGCGCCTCCTTGGATTATTGCGCCATGATTGAGGTCGGTTGGAATGCTTGGAGACGAAAGGTCGACCAGTGGGCCCACAGATCGTGATTTGGTGACGAGCCTTAACTGTCAAGAAAAAGCCCACAATAAAAAAAAAAATAAATAAAAATAGTGTGAGGGTTTTTGAGAATTAGGAGAATATTTTGGTGAGAGGAATGAAATTTATGATAAATTTGTGTGTATATTATAAGAAAATGTTTTTTTTTTCAATAACTTGATTTATTTTATTTTATTTTATTTATTTTTTACATGTTCATGTAATCAATAATAATAAAAAAATATGTATCCATGGTGTGGTGATGTGCATATCCTTCTATATATATTAATTCAAAACGTGTTGAGCTTAGATGGCAGATTCCCACACTTCAGATGCTGACATGGCAAAATCTATGCTTCGTGATATTGTTTTTATATTATTTTTGCTCTGGAGTTAGGTTTGGTATTAGTCATAAATAACTTTACACATATATTTATTAACTCAACACTCATGTTGTACATGTGTATTAGTACTAGTATTATTGTATTCTAAAAGATATTTAATTAATAATTGGTAAACAAACTTGTAGGCCTAGTGATAAGGTTCACATATATAACAACTTAATAAATATTCATAGATCACGGCGTGTTATAATACTAGTGCAATACTTGTGATTATACGTGTGCTAGTTAAAAAAATTATATTGAAAATCTTAAAATAAAATGTAAGAGATAATTTTTTTAATTTAAATTTTTCAATACTTTGTAAAACATCACTTTACTATTAATATGTCAAATAAGATTTTTTTTCCCTTGTACGATTATGGTGGGTAAACTAGGGTCGAAATAACTTATAATAATTCACAAGTTAATTTTGAAACAACTGTTAATAGTTTATATGCTTGATAATTGAAAAACTACTTGATACAAAAAATATATAGTAAAGTTATGTAATAAGTCCTCTAAAAAAAAAAAAAATTAAACGAATTTTCTTGAAATTGTACGTAGAAAGTAATCTGAGATAAGTTTGAGTTTTTTAAAAAGTTCTTCATACTACATTAACTTCGGTTGAATACTAAAAAAATTATAAGAAGTTATAAACTAGTTTATGATGTTATCAAACCAACATACTCGTAGATTCCTCCTTAAAGTTTCGTTTATTTAAATTTTCCTACAGCCAATTACCTCAAACTTAACCGGTGAAAGTTAAAAAAGAAATAGGTAAACAACATATATTAAAATAGTATTTTTTTCGCGTTTAAATGTTATTATGAGGAAACTAAATCAAATAATTTCAATTTTTAAGTTAGGTCAACTATTATTATATATGTTTGACCTGAATGAAATTCTATCCAATCGCAATGACATAGAATTTCGGCCCAACACTATTATATCATTTCAAAACTTTGCGGCCCAACCCACAAAGTTCTCACTTTTTCTTTTTCCTTTTTCTCTTTATTCATTTTAAATTTCATTTATATTATTTTTACCCCAAAATTGCATTACTCTTTTTTTTTTTTTAAAT